CGCTACTTGATACTCAAGTGTTGGATTAGTTAACGGTTTTCGTTTGAACACCTGGATGCGTTAATTAAATACGGTAATTTACGAAAAATTTATTAATAATTAAAATAAATAAAATACCACTTGTGTAGAAATTGACAAAATTTTTATATTTGCATAAGGAAATGCGTATTGTTTATTATAACCGCTGGTTCAAGAACAACGAAGTTGACGGCTGAATTTACATAAAAAATAGATAACCAAACAAAAATAAATATTTTTTAGACGTGACCCAAACACCTGGATGATTTTCTATGTGGGCGTAATTTTAATCATCTTGGGCCCAAGGGAAAATATAAAACGAATAATACAAATTAAAAAATTACAGATTACCATAACGACTTATTAATAATAAATGAATATTCAAACTGACATTTTCTGGAGATAAACGTGCAAAAAAATCATAAAGGTGAGCTAGATAGCAAGGACATCCCGTATACTTAATTATTGTTCCCCTCACTCTTCGAAGAAATCAAATAAACCGAAACATCCTGTATAAGACGTTCCCTATTACAATGCAGAATTTACAAAAATGAGAGGTCAACCCAGAACAAACCAGAAAATAACAAAATTTTCCACCACACCTTGGCGCATTTCGATTATTTGTTTTGTTAAAAATTGTTGTAGATCTTATCTGATAAGAGAATAAATAATAAAATGCGTTTGAAGGTGAAGTCAGGTGAAATTTAGGCAAGGCAAGATAAAAATTAAGACAAGTATTGCTTACTCATACCATTTCACAAATGTTATTCTATATTAATGTTTATTAGTAGAAAAAAGATTTTAGAAAAGTGAGTAGGAATTTGAAGAATGTAAAAGGCAAACAGAAAGAAATGATTCAACCAAGAAGAGGTTAAAACTGAGTCATCTGTGTCACGACTTGATTTTCAAAAGCCATAATCCATTAGAGATATTAATTGAATTATAATCTTTTTATTATTCTAAGTATCTTATACACGAGATTCCACGCAATTTTTAATGTTTACTTTTTGACTTGGTTTTGCGATACTGGTAAACGTCTCATTAGTCTCAAACATCGCAAACTAATTCCATAATAATACTCCTATGCCTTTAATAAATTTCTGATCAAAATGGCCTTCATTTTGAAATTAAGTTAGTAACAATGAATAATATAAGGCATGGAACTTGTCAAATTTCGTATCTTTTGTCTCTACGTAATACAATGTTGCCAACTTACCTCTTAATTTATGATATAAATTGCCAAATTAACATTTTAAATTTTTTGCTAACTTGACTACAAAAATCATATTAATTTGAAAAAGTTTTAACTGCAAAAAGGTGCTATAAAACAGCCTTACTCAACAGACATTTCTCATCTTTATAGCAGAAAAATTCAAGGTTTGCTCTTGATAAGTATAAGTGAAAAATCAAAAATATTTCACAATTACTGTTGAAAAATTCATTATAATTAGACTTTTAACAGCTTCTCAGCTAAATTAAGAGAATTTAGCACAATAGATCATTAAATTTTAAATGGAATAATTAATTAACGTAATATCACCGATTTATCGAAGAAAAATTTCCAATATACTCGTAAAAGAAGATTTTTAAACACAATCAATTATTTCCTTTTAATTTTAAATACTTTTTTCTTAAATACTCCTAACCCCGAATTACCTACACAGGATTACTCATGAGAGAGGTATTTCTCATTTTTTTGCCTCAACCCACTATACATATTGCAACAATTTCTTGATTCCAAATTTTAAAAATAATTATAACTGAATCCACGATGGCTATTATTATCTTGTCTCTTTGACATTAAAGCAAAAATCATCCCTCAAACGCAACATGTCTTGTTATCGTTTACCAACCGACTAGGCGCATGTTTAGAATTCGATACTAGACACTTCAAACAGCTTTTAACATTAACTTATTAATTTATTTGTTGAATTTTGATTAAACACATATAGACTGTCAATATGACAAATTTATCCAACTTACTTTGATTCCTAATTTAAAAGAACTAGTATACAGGGTGTTTCACATAATTTTACGAGGCCTGCGCCTGTAAGATGCAATCAAAAATACATATTCCGATATGAACTTGATTACAAATTTTGAAAAAGTAGATAATCTTCTACCCTTTCAAAAATTACAACGTTTTTAGTTAGTTAATGATAAATATAGATGAACTAGAATCAAATTCATGCCGTCTCTTGATAGAAAAAATGATAATTGTTTCTGAAAAACAGCAGTTTATGACTATTAATGAAACAATGATTAGTTTGGCAACTACTGTCATGGGTGTCCAAAAATGAAATGTGTATTTTTTGTATCTAGTGTTTTGTGACTTTTGTATATTTGGGTGCGTACATTAGGCGCAAGCCTCGTAAAATTGTGTGAAATACCCTGTATTTAATTTAGCAGTTGGTATTGTTGGCTGCGGCAAAAAAATTCAGAAAACCCTCTCGTGAATAACACTGTAGTCCCATGTAATTCAGAAAAAATCTTATTTAACTTATTTTAATATTTATTTTATTTCTGTTATTTTTAGAAATTTTCTAAACGCAAATAAAATTACAGTAAAAATTGGTAAAAAGATACCTATTCGATGATTTCGACTGGTTTTCTCAGTTGTAGTAATGAAAATAGGGGGAATTTTTATTTGCTTGAGTTGTTCACTAGTGCCGAAACTAGGTATAGGCGAAATAGGCCCCTGTCTAGGGGCGCCAAATCTTGGAAGATCTACAATATTAAAATAACAAAATACGCGGACGCAAAAAATACTTTGTATAGAAAATCTCTACAAAACTACCCATAGTTTTGTTTTCCCATTAAGCAATATTTTGTGTAGTCTTATAAGTATGATTTTTGCCGAAGTGTTGTTTTAGAAAACGGCGCGACGTAATATTATATCATGCTTAAGTGCTTAAATTTAGTGTATATTTAATCAATTCCGCTTCCCATTATTCTTCTGCTGGTTAAGTTATACAACATTAGTTCATCTTTTGCATTTTATTGATACGAGGTACGATCACTCTCGGTCTTTTGAGTTGTGTTGAGTTTGAGTTTCAAGTAATCAAGAAAAAAGTATCAAAAATGCCAAAAAGACTAAATAAAAAACCATCAGAAGCTTATTACAAAAAATTAGAAAAACAGACAATTACTCGTAGACCAAGCTAGCAGTGCCAAGTTTTTACTAAATTTTGTTCAAGCCGAGTCTGATGAAGTGATGAACCAAGTAAGAGATATTAAAAAGGCTACAGAGGTGAGTTTAATTTTGTAGTTAACGAATCAAGAACTGATGGTCATGAGGAAGTATTGCTCACTTCTACAAATACATCCGCCTCTTTAGAAGAATCGATGAATCCAATCGTCAAATAATTCCTCAGATTCTGAAAAAGTTGATACAACAAAAATTGAAAATTTGTTAAAAAAATCTTTGAAGGAGACAGTGGAGAATTCGGATTCTAGTAACAGTACATGGCAGTTTTAGAAAACATCTATAAACATTCTGTAGAATCCGTTTTTTCAAATATAACAGTCTCAAAAATATGTTACTTTACCAATAACAAGTACGAGTACATCTTGAGAAAGGTCTTTTTCGAAATTAGAACTGATTAAAAACTATCTAAGATCGTCAGTGGCCCAAGAGCGTGTATTAGGTTTAAACATTATAAGTATTAAAATAGATATTGCACAAAATTCAATTATGATGAAATAAGTAATAAATTAATTTGCTAGTGTGAAAGAAAGAAAGATTTTCTTATAAATTAAAAAATTTGGTTTGATTTTAACAAATTCGTACATTTTTATTTTTATTAGTTCTGTTAACGTCCTGCATCATTTGTTTATATAGTGGATCACGAGTTGAGGACAAATAAAAGACTTTTCCTTAAATAGCCGACGTTTCAAAATTTTATTATTTCATCATCAGGGCTTATAAGAAAACTTCTCGTCACCTAAATGTTATAATTTATACGCCATTTTATACACAATTTTAACTGTTTTGTCGATTTTTTAATGTGTTCTCCTGAACTCAGAGGAGTTGCTGAACGAGCAACAGAAAAATTAAGAAACATAGATTGAGAAATGGCTACTTCCCAACCGGAAAATTGATAAAAAAGTGTCCACTTCCCAACTTGAACTGTCAACTGTCATTTTTCAAACCAATTGTACAAATGTCATACTTTCCAACTCTTCACATGAAAGGTAATTTATCATTACTGTGATTGTGAATAAAAATAAATAAATCTGAAATTTCTTAATCTGTTATTAATGTCAAATAGACAATGTAATTTTTTTTTTTTAGTCTAAAACTTCAAAAAATGTAAGAAATGTCAAACTGACGTCGTGACATTCTTTTTTTTTGTAATTGTGTTATTCTTCTTAGCAGTTTCTTCCATTTCGCATATTACAGCATATGATCATGTGGGAAAAAACCCCAAACAGCTTGCACGTATACACCTCATCAATTTTTTACTTTTCATCTCGCCGCCCGTTCTTCATTTTAATTATCCAATCGTCTGTAATTAAAATCCGAGCATATTTGCAAGCAAGCCCACGATCTCAATCTCCGAAAACAGATGGGTTTATTGCCCCTCTGAAAACGCAACGTCCTTGAGCCGGCCCTGTTCGCGTCACGTGACCGTCGAAGGCGCGACCTTCAATCCGTGTACAGTACATTCAAGTACCTGTCACTAGAGAGAGGTGTCTTGCTTGGGTGAATGACTGTACCTACCTATGCTTACCTTGGGCCGAAATCTAAATACCTTCTATTTCTCCCATTAACATTTGAACGGGAAAAATGCCGTTCAACGTGAAAAATCCGCATATTTGCATGCCATACGTACCGTTCTTATCTTGTTTTCGTCAAATGCATCCTTGGCCGGATAAATCCTCGCCGAAATCGATTGAGAAAGCACAAAATGTTAAGTAATATCAATTTTCACTTTCACGAATCGGATTTATGCACGGCACACCTTCAGCGGAGTTTATTGACACCAGGTTCAGGTAAAACCATTGCAGCAACCGATTTTTACACACACAATTATTACACGCTAACAGGACTTTGTCTCCACTGTCAGTCGACGAACAACACCCGAAACGTACCCCCAAACACATCAATAACCTTAAATACAACGCACAACTGTAACACAGCTCCAACAATCTCCCAATCTAAAAAACGAATACAAAAAATGCTCAATTCACAATCGTCTGTAAAAACAATGGAAATTAAAAAAAGACAAACAGCGCCATCTACCTGGCACCTGTCAAAAGTCAGAACCACCAACTTTGAAAAAAAATAACCAAACGGAACTTCACCTGACTAATTTAACACAATTAAACTTGCATAATCAGTAATCACACCAATTCGGCCCCCAAAGCACGCACCCAGCCCGAAAACTCGCCTATTTGCAACCCAATTTGACATTTGACACATGTCACATTGACAGCTGTCTTTCGGGTAAGCACAATTTGAATCAATCAGTCAGATGACTCACATTCGTGCAGGAAAGTCCCCAAAAACTGATACAATGTTATAATAAACAAATTCGGATGGCTTCGAGAGTCAACATGCGACCCACCAACAAGAACACTCTGCTCAAAGTGGTGATTCTGGGGGATGGGGGCGTCGGGAAGAGCTGTTTGATGAACAGGTTTGTCTCGAATCAGTTCGACGAGCACTCGTTTCACACAATTGGAGTGGAATTTCTGAACAAAGACATCGAAATTGATGGGGAAACCTACACATTACAGGTCTGTATTCTAATTATTAAATGTGGTCATAAAATCGCTCGTAGATTTGGGACACTGCGGGCCAGGAACGGTTCAAGACACTCAGGACGCCCTTCTACCGCGGGAGTGATATCTGCATGCTGACCTACGCCGTGGACGACAAACACAGCTTCCGCAACCTACAAATGTGGAAAAACGAATTTCTTTATTACGCTGACGTTAAGGAAAACGTCCAATTTCCTTTCATCGTAGTTGGAAATAAGGTAGCTAGCTGTGTTTGTTTAAAATCGTGTGTGTTTTATGATTGTTTGTAGTCCGACGTTGAACAAAATGAACGTGAAGTTTCCCAAATCGAAATGGAGACTTGGTGCACCGAAAACGGCATTTCTGCCTGCATTGAGACGTCCGCCAAGAGTGCAAGCAACGTGCATGAGGCGTTCGCAATAGCCGTTCAACATTGGTTGAAATTGGAGACAAGGGCCGATAAGAACGACTGCATCTACGCTGATACAGTCGATTTGACTAAGAAACAATCAGAAAACAGAACTTCCTGTTGTATTAACACCTCTGACGAGTAGAGTAGTTTTTATAAATTAACTGGAGGTTGTGTATGGTCTTATTCCAAAGAGTAGTTAAAATATCAACATTCTACTAAATAAATTGTGATAACTTTTCGTAATTCCCACTGCGTAGGTATTAGAGCATTTATTTTGTAGGAACATTCCTTAGTTCTCATTGTACATATGTATCTCAGGAGCACCAAATTATGCGGCCTTTTATCAGTTAATTTTGAAGCACTCTGTATATATTAGTGCTGTTAGCTTTTGTACTGCGTTTTTTATAAGGCATATCAATTTTCGATGGAAATTTCAGTATTTCGGTGCTATTGAATTACGTTTATTTATTAATTGTATCATAATGCACGTTCAATAGATCTGTTGTAAAGTAATCAAGTCGCCTCATTTCCCCTCACGTGACCTAGAACAGCCAATCACATGATCTACAAATCAGGAGTGGCAGGAAAAAACAAGTTTAATTGTAGATATTTATAATGCAGTAGTCAGTCATATATGCACATTAATGTTATGATTTATCCGAATTTTCACAAGACATGGAAATGCACAAGCTTTTAAGGACAAGACTCAACAACAAGCTTAAATAACTGGTAAGCAACCACTTAAGATAACAAATATAATTATTCTGATGATGCTCTGATATGATTAAGTTAAAGCAGCTGCCATGTGGCTTGTAGCACCAAGTTGAGAGGAAAATAGCTCTACACAAGCTGGGTTATAACCAATCAAAAGTGTCCTTAAAAGTCTTGAACACCACTGATGAGTTTTTCATAGAAAAAATAATACATTTACAGCACAAGGTTTATAATGAATTAATAAAAAGATGAACTTAATCACTATAACTATGATGAAAATGTTAACTCCCTAACAAGTCTGAGACAAGAAACATTAATGTAATTAAAAAACAGTTATAAAATTACAACTATTTGTTTATATTACAATTTACTTTAAATTGTTCTCACAGCTAGCTAATATTATTAGTATATGAGCATATATACAACTAACAATTGTGCTAAGCGAACTTCTTAATCAACTTAATATCGCGGAAAGCAATCTATATGGACGTGTGGGTGGCTTCACAAACACAAATAATGACTGAGCAATTTTTACAAACTATAAGAAAGAACCTAACTAGATAAATAACTGAATTAATGTTTCAAAAACATAAATAAAATATAAAAATATATATTTCTGAACTATTCACACGAGATTACTTGTTGAATAAAGTCGTTTCGATATAAGATGTCGGAACGAAACCTTCTTCAAACTCTCCATGCATTCTTCTCACCCGAGTCCAACCATCGCCTTGGTCCTCTTCTATCAAATGTAATTCTTCGTCTTGAGCCATGGGTATACTCCCCTCACTTGTAGCTGCAACCAAATTGTCAAACAAAATCGCACAAATTGGGAAAACTCTCACCTTCAAATGGATACAAAGCTTTACAAATACCCATAGGAGCTAGAAGATCGGCTTCGTAATATTCGCTTTCTGGGTCGACAGCGTGACCGTCGTACTGGTCGGGGTCTGAGTCCACCCCAGGGAGAGACGTGTGTGATGTACCCAATCCACTTTCGGGACTATTTGAACAACTATGTCAAAATGTAAAGTGACGATAAATAAAACAAACTAATGAAATCCAATTGAGAAAATAAAAATGATTTTTCATGAAAACAAGGAGTGCAATGGCCTGGACTATTTACATATTATACAGGTTTCCCCAATCCATAAAAGAATCAAAGCGAATCAACTAAATTAATGTTAATAAATATTTCATTACTCAATGTTTAAAATTAACAAAATAATTAAATAAATGCTAACAAATTGGTATAAAAATATCACGTACAACATATTATTTAGCATCAATTTTCATTAAAAAATTATTGTGAGCTGAAAATTAAATTGTCAGTAAATTAGTTAATTTATTTAAGGCATTAGTTAAATTTTAGTTAATAGTTTTCAAGGTATGTAAATCACTATCTAAAACAGTTATTATTTTATTATCATGTTAAAAACATTGTTTCAAATTGTTATGAACATGTAAAACCGTTATGTAGTTGAGATCAAGAATGACTGTTTCAAGTTGGCAGTCCTGAATTTTATTTTTAAATAGTAGAATTAGAGTGTATTCAAATCAAATAAAAACAATAACAATAATCTTGTTACGTGGAGCAAAATCATGACAGTGTTGCAAACAGCTGAGTAAGAAAATGCATTCAATTTATTACCTAAACGAAAATGTAATCTTAAGATTTCCTCGAAAATTTAATTTCCTTATACTTTGTCTATAGAAAGAAACGGAACAATTTTTCAAAAATTCAAATCAGGTGGTCCTAAAAATTTAAAACAACTAAACTGTTGATTTTTTAAACAAAAAAAAAACACAGAAAACAATAATTTTTTAACAGATTATTTTTCTATAGTATTTAGTATTTTAGAATTTATTTGAGCAGAACACATAGTTTATTATGTGTAGTAATAAAAAATATTTGAATTTTGTAACTTTAGTGACATTTTTAAAGCAATTGTTGTTTTATAAATTGCAAAACTTACTAACCATTTGGGAAAGTTACAATACATTGTTGAAATTGGTTTAATTTAATTAAAATGTTTAAATCACTTTTTATTTTGTAAAAGTGGATCATAATTTTTTTTAATGCAGTACACTGTGGTACAAAAAAAAATCATAATTTCAAATTATAACAAACTTATCAAAGCAGATATTCCTTTGGCACATTAGCTAGAAATAGTAAAAATATTTTATATTTTATTATTTTTATAGTAAGAAATCCATGACTACTTATCAAGTGACCTAATTTGAAATTACTAAGATCCCAGTTGATTAAAAAATTAATCCAGATTTAATCATAACAATAATTTTTGTAACATGCGTTGTTAGGGACTTAAATCAGGTTTAAAAGCGATTAATTTTTCATTCAGCTGAGCCCAACTAAAATACATAAATCTTCATCTTATATGCCATTTTTGCTTCCCATGATAATATTACTTTTCCCGGAACCAAGAAAACTTTGTAAATTAATATTACTTTCTAAAAACTAGTTGCATTAGGAGTCAATTTGTATTTTTTAACGAAGATCTATGACGAAGAACCAGTAAGGGAGACAAACTTTCATAGCTCAAACGCTTGTTTGTTTTCTGTTTATTTAAAAATGTGGAGTCTTGATGTCTTGATACATTTACTTTTCAGTAAATGTAGCTTTTCAAATTAGTGTCGAATCTTTCCAACATTTTTTAATTAAACTAGGAAAGTGTTTTGAGTTTATATTACGTCATGAGAACTTTTATTATGTTTTATCGCAATCAATGAATATACAGAAGAAAAATTATTAAAAAACTCTAGAATCCCCTTTAACGGCAGAATGGTTCTGTGTTACGCCACTGCTCAAGTTCAAGCAAAGAAGAAAAACTAATTAATGTTCTACGAGTAATCACTTCTAATTAATTATTATTAGCATTCTTGTACGACGGAAATATTAAGATAAAATTTTCTAAAAACAACTAAAAACATAACAAGCATGTGTGGGAAAATTTTCTGTAGCTTATTACTTGTTTGAGTTATTATTCATCAGAGCGAAGTTATTTCTACCAATAAAATCTCTACACTTCTGCTATAATAAAGAAAAAAAAAATTTTTAACCAATTACTTAAAATCCAGATTTCTATTTGCTGATAAACAAAGTATACCATACTTAACATGAGTTATTGAATTTTTAATAAATTTCTCTGTTAAACAAATTGTTAATAAAAGCCAAAGCTAAAACTGAACAAAATACTCGTAGACCGCAATAGTGTAGAAAAAAACTCATTTTGTAATTTCTTGATCAACTTGAAAATAGAAACAGTATTATAAACTGATTTGCAAATTTGTAATTAAATGAACTAAATTAATGAAACAATTCGAAGTATACATAACAGATTTAGAGCCTAATTTCTTCAGTTCAACGAAATCTCTTATTAATAAAAATTATTATTAATTAATTAATTATTAATTAATTATAATTAATTATTACAAGAACCCAGCCCAATCGCGCGTCTTTTACGATCTCATAAATAAATTCAACGGAGTTCTCGCTGAAAATTATGCGGATCATAAAAATGATAAAAATAACACACTTAGAACTTGGTTTTACATTTTTTCGTGTAAATTTTCTAAAAATAAGAAAAGCTGTCGTTAAATAAACACACCAAATCGAAGGATTTAATAAATGCAAGTATGTTACACGGTACAGGTGTGTGAAGTACCATACTTTCCGATCAAAGTATCCTATGACTTAGAAATTAAGTTGGTAAGATGAAGTTTTAAATTCCCAAATTTGTAGAGAATTGTCATTCATTTCGGAAAAGCGGCCGCTCATCACCTAAACACAATCAGATATCACTAATAATTCGGTGTTGCCAACTTAATTTCAAACTCACAGGTTCACTTTGGTCTTTACAGAAATTCTATCGAGCGATCAAGATAATTTGTAATCGAGTGATCTTTGGATCGGAAAACGTCTGTTTTGTCTGTTTTCTGAACTAACTGCTTGTAAAACGTTAAATAAAATGACAAGTCAAAATGAGTTGGATTTAGTTGCCAGCGCATAAAATGATAATAGAACCATTCTTTTTTGAAGGTAAATCATAAAAATCATCATCTTTTTGATCATGCCATTTTACCTTTCGACTTGTTATTTTATTTGACATTTCACAAACATACGTGCCCGGATAGAAGGATAACTCGATTATAAATTATTTTGATCTCTCGATCCACCAGCGAGTTGCCATTAAATGGTAAAATTATATATATATACAGGACATTGATAGATAGATACTAATTTAGTCCATCGCCTAAAATTATTTTCAACTATACAGAGTGTCTCAAAAATAAGTTACAATACAAACTTGTGTTTTTTTAGGTGAAACACCATATGTTTCTTATCGTTTTTGGATGTAGATTTTTATGACAATGTTTTTTATTGGTCGATTTTGCTCAGTTTTAAAAATAAGACGGTTTTTTTTGACGAAAACATGCACTTTATAAAAATTTATTATACAAAAACCAAGACATCTAGAAATATTTTTTTACTACCCCAAAGAAGAAGGTACAAGCTATAAAGTTGTAACATTTTTTTAGTGTGTTGCATTTGCAAAGATAAAAAAATGAAGGCGTTTGTTAAAAGTTCAATAACTTAAAAAAATTATATGGACCACCCTATTTATTGTTTTTGCATTTAACAGATTATTAAATTGTCTTTTTAAAATGATTTACATGTTTTTAATCAACAACTAAAAAAATATTTAACGTTAAACATTAAAAAAAAATAATTGCTATTGTTTCAGTAGCCAAAAAGTGGACAGTTGCACAAGAGATGGAAGAAATATCACTTTATAATCACATTTGTATTAAACTGAATCCATTATTCTTTATTTTTACAATAAAATAATTCGAATTTCAGTATTTATGACGACTTTTACAATATTTGGATAAATCAACGGATGGTGGAATTACTATGGTTGTCTTAATATCAACAATGCTCAGATATTAATAGGCATTGTTGATACAATTAATATTAAATGTTAAATATCTTTTCATTTATCAATTCTTGATATTAAAAGTTTATTTTTTTAGATAGACAATTTACCAATCTATTAGATGCAAAAATAAAAAATAGGGTGTTCCATTTAATTTTTTTAAGTTATTTAACTTTTAAAAAACTTCTTAATTTATTAATCTTTGCAAATGCAAAACACATTTTTTTTAAATTCTGTACTTTCTTTGCAGAAATAAGAAAAAATTTGTCGACTAATAAAAGTTTAGCATAAAAACATTGTTTTAAAAGGCTATATTCAAAAATGCCAAGAAACATACGATGTTTCATTAAAAAAAAAACATAAGTTTGTATCGTAACTTATTTTTGGGACATGCTGTATGGTTGAAACTAAATTTAGGTGATGCACTAGATTAGTATCTATCAATATAACAATTTTTTTTAATTTTACCATTTAAAGGTCACTAACGGACTTTTTCAACTCGCTGGGACCCTGTATTTTATAAAGTTATACAGGGTGATTTTGAGGTACGTGCATATATTTTAACAGGTGATAGTGGAGCTCAAAAGAAGTCAAAATAACTCAACTTGCCATATCCGAATGTTTATAGTTTCTGAGATATAGAGGGTGAAACCTCCACATTGGCGTCAAAAAATATATCAAAATAAAGCAATATAAACGAATTTTATATCTTTTGAGTACATTGCTAGTAATCAGTAATATTCAAGGTAATGAAATTGGTTAATATCTTCAACAAAAAAATTGATCCAAAATTATGATTTTTTTAGACGAGGACACTATCTTCTTTTGCCTGTTTGCTAATTTTGACTACTTTTTTTTAAAAGTAATGTAATATATTAAAAAAAAAATAAACCTCAGAGATCATATTTGTTTACAATTAGAGTTGGTGAAGTTCAAGACTGCATATATGTATCTCAAAAACTATAAACATTCGGATAGGATAAGTTGGGTTATTTTGACTCCTTTTGAGCTCTACTATCGTCTGGTAACATACCTCAAAATCACCCTGTATAATTTTCGGTGAGAAATAAATCGTGGATATTGTATTGCATTGTTTTGCAATGATTTTAAAACGAAATGTATGTAGAAGTAACACAACGCAAATTTGTCTACTTTTAAGGATTTTTGTGTCTAATTTTAAGTAAATAATGCAGCAAAGCTAAAGCAGGTCATATACACTATTATCCAACACCCACCCATGATTAAGCTGAGGCGTGCCCGGTGCAGACTGCTTATTATGATTGATAGTAGGGTTAGTGACGCTACTGTCACTTGCAGACCTGCTGAGTGATTCCTCTTCAGCAGCACTACCACCCGAATTCCGGTGATGTCTCGACCCATTAACCAATCTCGGTGAGTTCGTCAACGAGTTATTCTGTCCCGATTGGATACCCTTAATGGCGTCGTCTAGATAACTCTGATACCTCTTCAGTTCACCTTGAAGCTTATCTAGTCTATGACTGCATTCATTGAGTTGACCTGAACATTTTGGTTTAGATAAGTTTGCAATAAGGGTAAAACTAAGTACCTTCGATGGTCATCGGGTCGCCCAATGCGGGATTAGCTTCGTACACTCCTTTCATTTTCATGAGACCGTCTTTGGCCGCTGTCTCTTGACCAACTTTATTTTTGAGCTCTTCGACTTTTTGCATGAGTTTTTTCCGCCGCTGGTTAGGGGGCAAGTCACTTAGGTCCTCCTTTCCGTCCGAAATTGCAGCGTTCTGTTCAAAATTCGATTAAATAACACATTTTTTCACCAATAACTATGTATTCTGGTAGAAATGGAGCATTTATTCGCCGTTATGTAACAATAAAAATCTCAACTCTTCACTCCAATGATTAACTTTCCCTTCAAATAAGAAAAACAATACATTTCAAGTGAAATGAAATCATAAATGCCCCACTTTTCGCAACTGTACATCTAAAAACTACTCATCGCATTGGAAAACTAAATTTTAAGTGTGAAGTGTGTTAATGCAATGTATCTTAAAATTAGGTTAATGTAAGAATTAGGCAAAAGCACATACCTTGATGGCCATACAGACTTCTGTAAGCTTCTGTACGCATGAAAACATAAAAGCATTAGCACATGCCCTTTAAAATTAAAAATGTGTTGAACATAAGCCGGCAGTTAAAAAAAGCAAGGTTTTTCATAGTAATGACCGAAATTTTAGTGTGGTTTTGATATTTTTCGTGTCACTGATTTTAACATGCGACTGTGTAATATTTAACACCCATGCACGGTCGTAATAAAGAAAATTACTTACTATAACAATGTAATGGTAACAAATAGCCCACACATCGAGGTCACCATCACCAAATAGAAGGAAATAATAAAATAGTGTTACAAAATGCATTTTTTAAGTGGAAAAGAGATCTTGTACCTACTCAAATTTATCGAAAATCGAATAAAGCGCAAAGTTGGAAAATAAAAATGTGCTCATGGTGACAAAAATACGGAAAACAACGTAACGGTGGTAATTGGTAATTATATAAATTTTCCGGTAGTATTGTGGACATTAATACAAATCTATTTAGCAACGCTTTGGTTATTACGTTTTATTTTTCTCGTTTGTAACAATAAAATAACATTTACATGAAATGAGTCATTTACACAAACCGTTGATTTTATTTATTTACAACTAAATGTGTAATAAAGTGACTAATAAGTTGTATTTCTTGAAACGTTTCTTGTTAACGATGAATTAGAAAAATTCTTGAAACGAGAAACAATTTTTAATTTTTTTTTAGAAATACCTAGTCCATTTAAATTTGTGTGGCAAAATTCTCTAAAATCGATCCAACTCGGTCAATCTTGAGTTCGCAAACATAATTTTTGTCTGTCAAACCTTAAAAATCAATATGTGATGTTTATAGGAAACTTTTTTCGCTGTTTAAATTTGTGACAACAAATACAGAAAAAAATTTTGAAAGTGACAGTGAGCATATAGGTGTCTCATAACTCGCACCACAAAGAAAAACGCCAAGTAAAATATAGTGCCAGAAACGTAAAAAAATCTTTAAAAACGTATAAAAAAAATTAACATTGACTTTTTTATGTGTATTTATTGTTAGTGATGACCCTGTTTTTTCGTAATTATTCAGTAAAGGTACAAAAACTTTGTTAAAAAAGCCACAAATAACGTTAAACATTGTAACAATTCAGGATACAGCTTCCTAGTAATCTCTTCGAATAGCTTGCAGCAAAAAAAATGTAAAATTATTTTTCCAACAGAAATAAATAGGGTCATAGTACAAAATTTAAACTCCCACAACTTCGAAATTCTTAGAGATAGAATTTTTTAACATTTTTTCCATGTTCCTGGTATCTTACCTTACTCATACAAAAATACAAGTGGAAAAAAAAATTCAGTTCAAATTCAGTCCAATCAAGATTACCACATTTATACTAAATAAATCATTGGAAAATTTAGTGTAAAAAGTTTTAAATTGTTCTCCTCTTGTTTTTGCTATTAATACTCTTCATCTAAGCATGAAGACTGTTAATAAATAAATAAAATATTTTTAGTCCCAAAATCTCTCTACAATTGGAAGGAGTCAAAATTAATAACTTGTATGCGTAGAAACTGGATTTCTCCTTAAAAATATGTAATTTATGTGAAGTTAATTAATAAACACATATTATTATGTAACTATTATCATTTATCATCTTAAAATAATACCCAAAGTTGCAAATAGATTTGGTCACAAACCACACCAGCTGCTCAAAAAAATTATGTTAATTAAAAAGGCCTACAATTAAAGTTTAAAAAAATCTTTTCGAGTAAAAACCCACTTTAACATCGTATACTTTCCCACTGCACCACCAGTGACACAGCATCGGAGGAAAATAGAACACACACAAAACAATGGTCTTCACTCATTTCCATAAATTAAAATTCCACCGTGAATAAAAAACCGACATGTGGTTCGTTTAAAAACATGTTGAATCCACGATTGAATGTGCCACCGTGAAAAATGTATGACACGAAAACCCTTTTAAACAAGAATTAACAAAAACGCGTAATAAAAAATAACCTAATTTGAATTTCCATGAACACATTTTTTCACATGCATATATTGAATAGGCACTGCATTTGGGAAAGTTCCTAAATAACTTAGTAACGTACCCCTTTGCTTCCGAAAATGTGAAATATTCCCGCCCGTTTTTTCAACGCTTTTCCCGTTATTGTCCCTTTCACTGTATAACCACCATCTTTCAATTTGCCACTAATTTGTATATTGTTTATGTTATTAGCACTACCCGAATCACTACCACCTTTCGATAAATCTTCGAACGGAATATCATCCGGGGGTAGAAAGCCTGACTTGTATTTTTCTATTACAAGTATCGTGTCCTGAGAAAAAAAAAAGTCAAAGCAAAATTAAAAAACCAGAGAAAATTCACCTCTTTTTCATTAATAACGTCTGCAGCTTTCAGAATACCATCTAAACATTTATTAATAATAGGAAACACATTACGTTCGATATCTACAGAACTACGTATAAAATTTTTAATATTTTTGATCCGTTTTTCGTCTAGTTCTTGCAATTGCCGGAATACCTCCGGTAATCCAGATCTAAAGTGTTGTCGTTGTAATTCGTTTGTTCTTTGTAACTGCATCGCGTATTCATTTTTTGTCGTATCACAAACTTGAGTTTTGTAAGCTAAATTCGCACGTTGTTTTTCAACCTGAAATTATAAAACAATTAAATGTGAAAAAAATTGTGAGAATGAGACAAACCTCTGCTCGGGATAAATGCAAATCGGCGTCTGCTTTTTGGAAATTTTCTAACGCTTTTTCATTATCGCGAAATGCTTTGTCGTAGGCTTTTCTCGATCTTTGTAAGTTTTCTAATTGGGTCTGTAAGGCTTGAGTTAGTCGATTTCCCTCCTGAAGTTGTTTCTGAAATTAGACGAATTTCCACTTAAAATACACTAATCGACATTTAATTCCTCTATATCTTGTGTCTTATGTTTTAAAGACAATATTTACAATTGCCTGTTTTTTAACTTGATTTTACAAGTGCACTATTACCAAATTTTAACAAAATCTTGATTATTTTGTTCCCAATTATAGTATTCGTCTGCATCATATAAAAAATTAAAAAGCGAATCAAAACAGCAATTTTTAGCTTCCATAGACTCAAATTGTTTTTTAACAACTCATATTTTTTTGAACACATACAATACAATTTACAATTATCACCTGAATAATTCAGATTTTCTGATATTAGAAGTACATAAATTTATTCTCCTTAAAAGTTTTCAAATACGTAGTTTGAAAATTTATCTTCTATTATTAGGTAATTTATGTAATATGTAGGTATTTTTCTTTTTATTTCAACGTTTTGGCTGACATAATTTTTCAAAAAAAATAAAAATTAAGCATAATAAGCATACAGTAATCATGGAAATAAAAACAAACATTTTCATAATCAACTACAAAAAAAAAAAAAAACAAAAATCATCAAACTAAATCTAACCAAATTTTGGTGTTTTTTCTTTTAATTTATAAGAAAAACTAAAAATCTGTGAATTTTTAACACTGACATAATTTTTCAAAAAAATGAAAATCAAGCAAAATTATAGTAAACGTGGAAATAAAACAAAAATTTTCATAATCAACTACAAAAAATTAAATAAAAATGAAACTAAATCTCACCAAATTTTGGGGTTTTTTACTTTTTTATTTATAAGAAAAACTAAAAATCTGTGATTTTTAACACTAATAATATGAGAAACAATTGGTGAAAAAAGAGTTTTGTTTTAGTTAGTTTTATTTTTTATCACAAAATAACAAAAATGTTACTGTAAAAAAATTAAAAACCTAAATATAAATTAATAAAAAAAAACATTTTTTTAATACGTATAACTTTTTTTTTTTATAAAAGTGAGTTTCAAGAATATTAAATGCAATTTTTTCATCATTGTAACACTATTTTTTTTCTCCCACTTGTTTATCTATTTACACAACAATTACATTCTATCAGTTACGTTGGCGTATTTCCTTCGACAATTTCGGTTGTTATAAAAGGTTTTTGCACTCGTCTGAACATTATTTAATTAAAACCATTCACTTTGATCAACTGACATCCTCATTTAATTTTTCTCATTTATTTTAAAATACCATTAATTTCTCCCACATATTTTTCAATTTAACTAACAATCTCGAAATTTTCACAATCAATTAGTTACTACAAAAAGAAATTTGCGTAATAGCACACTCTTCTTTCTCTACTAGTTCCAGCAATTCATTGCGTGTTTTCTAAAGTTCATTCATTTCTAATTCAATTCAGTAATTAATGAATTTAAAAATAATTCATTAATTTATCCAACCTGTAAAAAATTTACTTACTTTTCGTTCTTCCCTAATATCTTTAACTAATGCATTCAATTCCTTGATAACATTAGCTTGAAGATTTTCGGCCACAACCTCGTGTTGCCCAGCGAGGTCATTGATTTCGTTCATTAACATCTTAAAGGCTTTACACGACGTAAACCTGAAAATGAAACCACATTGCATCAAATAATCTTTTTTCTCAAATAAATCACCGACTTTCTCTCTGATTGAACAATTCAAATGAAATAATCTGTTACCGTTAAAAAGCGAAAGGAAAATTACGTATGCAACCATATGAAAAATTTTATTATGCTGCTTTGTAGGGTCGTAAATGTTGACCTTAGCTGTTGGAATTTCTCGTGAACAAACAAGAGCTCTGTTAAAAAATACTCATGCGGGCTTTTGAAAGTTTTAAAGGTTGAAAAATCATCTGTACTACATATTTACACATCCTGTTGTCAATCGATCCAAGATTTAATTGGATTTCAAATCAAATTACTTACTGGTAGTCGTCTTCATCTTTTTTCTTGGGTTGGTACGTCTTTACTAATCTCCTGTAACAAAAAAAAATTCTAATTAGTAAATGAGTAGAGAAACTTTCGACTATTGAAGAGCTTGGTTGAAATGGAAAGCAATTGTTCTCTTTATCACAACCAGACTCTATTGTGTAGGAGATGCACAATGCTGTGAATCAAACAATATTCATATAAATTATTTTCATTGGACTAAATTCGACGACTCGCTGAACAGTCATTGTTTATTGTGAAAATTCGTAAATGATACCAGATTTGAACTTATTTTGGAAATGTATCAAGAGTTGAAGAGTTTTAGATCACAAACAGGAAAAACGACTACATGTCAAGGAAATAATTATATACAGGAGCTACATGATGCGTGTTCGGGACTCTTTTAATCATTAATTTGTAATAAATTATAATATATTAGAGATTAACGACTATCATTTTCTTAATAAAACGACAAAATGCTACAAGTTGCTCGTTTAATCAACTGAACCAAGCGGAGATAAATCCTCATTTCTGTTTTCAAATTAAAAAAAAGACATTCATTTTCTAGACATTTCAATCATGAGTATGATGAGTGTTTTTCAGATAATGCAAGGTTGAAATTATAAAGTGTACGACTGCACGAAACTGCAATTCTTTTGTTTCTATCAACTGTGTGTATTGTATTTCTCTTTATTAAATTTCTACTATCAACTAAGTAGATTTCAAGATAAAATTAAAAGATAACAAGATAATAACGTTTAATTTAATTATTTGTTAAAAACACGTACAATTGTCAAACATTTCAAAATATTGGGTTCAACTTTTTCTGATAAAATCAAAAACTAATTAATAAAAATTGTCTTTGTTACATTATGTGTTATAGTTCAATTTTGTGTATACATGTCAAAAAATGTTAAAAAATAACCTATACTTATCTAATCACAATTCATGTTACAAATTGCATTTTCTAATAAAAAGACATTATTTCTTTCAAATAAAAAATTGTACAATATCTGTTTCACAAACTACCTACTAATTAGTCTGAGGAACCAAATAGTAATTTCCTTATCGAAAGAAATGATTCTTTCATACGAAAAATCTAAGATGATGAGTTGGATTTGATTGGTCTTCAAAAATAATTAAGCAAAAATATAGAAGTTTCCAAATAAAGTTGTTTCATCTCCAAAGAGTCGAAAATCGAATTTAATTTGACCAACTTTTTATATTTTTCCAAAAAAAATCTTTAAATCTTACGAGTTTTTCTTGCATAAATACAATAACTTTGTTAGAATTTTCGATGATGTATTAAACATTTACAATTTAGTCAATGTTAAAGATTATCTGAACTGTATTTTCATATAAATATCACTTTTTAATCAAATTTATTTCATCGTAACTGAAAACAGCCAAAATTGACAAAAACTACCTTCAATTGTAATCACTTGACGTCTCAATTTAGTACTTTCTAGTAATTTTCCTTTCTTGACTTTACTTAGTGCTGAAAAAAAATAATCTATCCCCAACAATTTGAATCTAATATTAGAGTATTTTAAATGTAGGCAAATGTTTGAGAGTCTTTTTTTCTATAATTTACATATAAAAAATATCTATTTACCAAAAATTTCAAGTGAAGGGACAAAACAAACCACTATTCACTCGATAAACACTTTATCAAAAAGCTATAAAACGTTCTCTCCCTCGATAATTTTCTATTCTGATGCATAAATGTCAATGTAATTGTAGATAATCTCCCCTATCTTATGGTAGGATAATCTCCCCTAACTTATGGTAGGAAGTGCTCAACTATCACCAGTTGGCATTTTTCCCTCAATTATGTATATTTGAATACACAGACAGTTCCAAAACTCGATCCAGTCAACAAAAACTCTCAAACACGTGTCTTTGCATAATTATGCAAAATTTTTCAAAATTAAAACAATAATTAAGGAACAGTGAAAAGATAAAACCACAATGTAGGCCATCTTATCATTTTTTAGTTTAATCAACATTGTCATTAGTTTGTTTTTTTGTATTACTCAATTTCGAACAAATTATTAAAACCAGCAGTATTTCTCCACGTATGGCAGTGCTATTAGGTAATAGTGTATCTGAATTCCTTTGCCATTTTAAGATTCCTAATTTCATCCTACCATCAACCAAAAATTGTTCTACCTTTATCTAATTTCAAAATTTTCAATTAAGAAAACGTTAACTCTAAACCCACACTGTTTTGTGCAAACTATAGTCAAATTTTCAGTAAAGGTGACCAAAAAACCGTTTTAATTTCACATCTGTGTAGGTGGTTCAATTTCCACCAACCTGTGGGACGTTAATAAACATCCAACCAAAGAGACGACAAAACTATTTATTTAACGTCTTCATATGATGATGAATCATTAAAATATTCAAACAATTAATTCATTCCGAGTAAATAATTAGGCGTAGGTATTAGTCTGCTGCAATTAAAATGTTGTTTGTTTAAATATTTCCTGAATCCTGAATAACTTGCGTCTAATGAATAGTTGTAGGATGTCTGGTTTCAATATCGAAAAGACCATTTCCTCAATGCAATCTTTACTGAAATTTCCGGCATTTCATTCACCAGCTGGTCACTAATTTCCTCCCGTCTCACAACAATACCACCAACATTGAAAAATAAGAAAAAACTGCCATTGTTCATGCACTGTACATTGTTTTCTGCGTCTTTGCTGTTTATAAAAACCACAATTTCAGTATTATTACAAACAACCTTGAAAAATGTTATTCTCATGCTTGACATTTCCATGGAACAAAAGTGAAGTTTTGGGTCGACAATACGTTGGTGACTTAGTCGTTGGGTTGGTGTTTGGTATGTTATGCAGAAACACGTAGGCGCTAAACGGTCGCTGCTCTTTTAAAATCCGGCGGAGCAACTTTTGCGAAATGTTTCAACTTTTTTCAAACATTAATCGAAGAAACAATGTGGTGTCGTAACAAGAAAGAAGGTTTATTATAAATTCGTGATTTATAAGACGACTAACAAGAGATGAGATAAAAACTTTCGAAATTGTTACTTATGACAAATGTTAAATTTATCCAAAAAATAAATAAAAAGTTGCATGCTTGGTATTAAGGAATCTACAAACGGTAAGGATATCAAGAGAAAAAAGTGTATCGAAGGGTGTAACCCTCGATATCACAGCCACCCCAACCCTAATAAAATCTCAAATGGCTCCATTGCCCTCTAACACCAACAAAAAATGTGGTTTTCACCTGTGCTATTTCTGTAGCAAAATACAGTAGATTTATTTTAAAAATAAAAAAAAATCTACCTCTCATTACAATATCAAGAAAGCATACTTTGAAAAAATATAACAAAACAATCATATAAAGTTAAATATTTGTGTTTTTTTTTAATAAACCCTTCAAGGGTAAATTCGCAAAAAGTAATAAATGAAAAAGGCGTCTTCCTCATTTCTTCTAAAAATATGTATCTTAAAATCAAGTTAAAATAACCAAAATAAAAAATGTTTTCTTAATCAAATTTCTGGTATTTCGATCTAAAGTTACATGTTGCTTTTTTAATTCATTCTACATCAGAAAAAAAAAACAAATAATAAGTATTAATACTTTTCTAAAACTCAGCAAAAAAAATATGTGAATTAAGCTAGATATCTATATATAATAACAGTTTTAATTAAATAATTAAGATAAAATAGTGGCATAACTAACTTGACTCTAAACTGGAAAAATGTACTCACAACCTGTGATATAATTTTTCTAGCAACAGAGTAGACTTTTATAAAGAATTAAAGTTTAAAAATTTAGGAACTTTTGCCCTAATAAGGAGGTGGTTGGTAATAAATGTCACAAAGGTTGAGAAATTCGATTATCGAAGTGTCAAGTCTCGAATATTTTTTTGTCGATTGACAATGCATACTACCTGAAATAAGAGATAGGTATCGCTAAAAACGCCGCTGAAAATCACCATAACTAACCTCTAGAAAATACACCCAAATTGGTGTTGAAATGGCTCATTAAAGCATCGGTTTTGGTATCAAAATAAGCTAAATTTCAATCGCAAAATAGAAAAATACATTTTTAAATGTTTAACTTTAAATAAGTTGGATATTCAAAAAGTTTATTTTTTCCAAAGCATATCAATTCAAAAAACCTGTTTGATGACAAACTTTTATTTTCATTAAAATTTTTTATATACACAAAATGTTTTCTTTTACTTGTTTTCTTCCAAGATTTGTGTCAATTCTTATCTAAAATATTTACTTTTTAAACTTGTCACAAAAAAGGATTTAGGTTATAAAACATATTTTATTTATTTATAACTAGTTAAATATAAATATTGTCCAAACTTTAAGTGTTTACTTTTTCAAGTGTTTAAGAAAACAACGTATACAGGATGCGCCAGAACTCGCGCCCCAGAGAAAAATTTCAAGTAAGATAAGATACCAGGAACATGAAAAAAATGTTTAAAAAATTCTCTGTCAAAAATTTTGACATTTATTTTTTGACATTTGTCATTTTTTATGTCTATTTAATGATACTGATGATCTTGTATATGTTTTTTTACAGTTATTTAGTAAAGGTACAAAAATTTTGCCAATAAAAGCCACAAATAACATTGAACAGAGTTACAATTTAGGCTACAGCTTCCTTGTTTCCTCTTTTAATAGCCTATAGAAAAAAAAACTTGGAAAATTATTTTTCCAACAGAAATAAAAAGAGTCAAAGTGCAAACTTTAAACCCTCATAACTTCGAAATTTTTTAGATAAATTTTTTTTAACATTTTTTCCATGTTCCTGGTATCTTACCTTATATGGCATTTTTCTCTGGGGCGCGAGTTCTGGCGCACCCTGTATTATTTGTGTAGCGACATCAGAATTTCATAAAACTTACCATGTTAAAGCATTGTTTTTAATAAATTTTTCATTAATTATAATTTCCTGACAAAATATTTAAATTTTTATTTTTTACCTACAGGATGTTCGTTTTTCGAGCTCCACCATGGGAATCTCAGTTATTATAAGAGATACGAGATCGGTTAAATTAGGGCAAAGTTGCGCACTTTTATGCTGAACAATAATCTGAAAATAAATTGTGTCATTTTTAGTTTTTGAATTATTGGAAAAAAACGGAAATTTGTCATTTTCGTTTTTATTTTTTCAAGTAAAAACTAAAAGACCTAGACGTTTTTAACTACAACGTTATTAAGGCACTTTTTTAAAAGAAATCTAAATTTGTCATCGTATTTTCCAAGACGCTCTTGATATCACTCAACTTTCTTCAAATTTTTTTTTTTTTTAAAAGAAATCTAAATTTGTCATCGTATTTTCCAAGGCGCTCTTGATATCACTCAACTTTGGATTTTCTTATGGACTACATATTTGATTTATGTATTTTTGAAAAGTCTTTTTGCTCCTGATTACAACGATCACACGATATGATCAAATTTTACATGCTACCAATTTTAATTAACAAACTAAATTTTGGCAGTTCAATTGAATTTGGATCTGAAATTCACATTCACATCCTGTATACGCAACACTTCTTTAACATTTCAGGTTTGTATTGTCAACATTAAAATAAAGATTTTTCCTTTAAATTATTTCTGGAACACTCGTATACAGGATGCGCCAAAACTCACACCCCATAGAAAAATTCCATGTAAAATAGATACCAGGAAAATGGAAACAATGTTAAAAAAATTCTATCTATAAAGATTTTACAGATATGAAAGTGTAAATTTTGCACTTTGATTCTATTTATTTCTGTTGGAAAAATACTTTTCCAAGTTTTTTTTTGCTACAGACTATTAGAAGAGCAAACAAGGAAGCTGTTTCCCAAATTGTAACTCTGTTTAATGTTATTTGTGGTTTATTGGCAAAATTGTTGTATCTTTACTAAATAATTATAAAAAAGCATATATCTACAAGATCATCAGTATCATTAAATAGATATAAAAAAATAAAAAAAAATAAATGTCAAAATTTTATGACAGAATTTTTAAAATATTTTTTCCATGTTCCCGAAATCTTATCTTACTTGAAATGTTTCTCTAGGGCGCGACTCTGACACCTGTATACATAAGCCAGTACCGGTTTCTCGACAAAATACGACATTTTTTATTATTATACAAAAATTGTAACCCCGCCGAGTAATATGTATATTCGAGAACCATGTACGTTATTTTTACACCGTTCCTGCACGGCACCAGCGCGAAATTTCCCTCGGGTGCCCCATGAACGGCTTTCCACTACCGGTCTTTTCCAAAAATAGCCCGTTCGATATAAATATTTCAAAGTAGCACAAAATTAAGTGTTGAAACGCAAACACAGCGTGCACCACCCAAAAAACGATTTTTCTCTTCGTTCCGGAACTATCTCACCCTGACCTACCGATCCGGAATTTAAGAGGTCAATGCTAAATTCTTACCTCAATTTCGCCGCATATTCATACTCTATGGTCGCCCTGTCTTTAACAAAATGACCGTACTTTTCCAAAAAATCGATCCCTTTCAGTGTATGAATCGACAAATTGTCATACTGGTCCTGAAACAAAATGAAAAATTAGAATTCAAGCATCACATAAATTGTTGCAAAATGTTTATTATTTTTTTACAAGAGGTTACTGTGTCGTTTTCATGCGATTGGCCGGAAATTGAGGAAAATTGCGTACGTAATCACTGGCTGGTTCAGTAAGATGAAGGTTAAATTCTGCCGTTGGCAATAAACAAACTAGTTGCAGCACACCCAATATTAAATGGTTGTTCGATTGGATTATTTATGCTTCACGAATTGCGTTTAAAACTGAGGTCAAGATTGCACCTTTTTTAATAAGAAAAGACGCAACAGTTTTGAATTTGCCTTGAAATGAATAAAAATTGTATTTCTGTGCTCCACTTTTTTACCATCAATCAAACTGCATTATAATTTTAAAACTATTTTAATTGTTTTTATTGCTCATAACGACGTTTTAATGACGAATTCGAAGGTAATTTGTACAAAAAATTTAATCCCCCGTGTCCAACCATAAAAAACTACATAGGTACCTTTTTGAAAAGTATACAAAAATCTGAATGTTTGATTTAGTATGAATAAAAGTGTAAAAACCAAAGTTTAAGTAAAAAAATTTATTACTCCTTTGAAGACTATAAAGATAACAAAACGCTTTTTAGTGCTAGAAAATAATTTACGATAAGCACTGTGTGTGGTAGATCCTCATAAAAGACCCATTTATCTTCTACTCTCCTAAAAAAAATGACTGCTTTCCATTCAAAAATCCAGCTAAAAAACTTAATCTACTCGCTGTCAATCAGTGAGTTCTCGGACACCTGTATACCTTTGTATACTTAATTTAAGGAATCTAATCTTTTAACAAAATAACCAAAACTGTTTAAAAAATGGTGAACAAAAAAAAATTGTTTCCGTCATGTCCATCTATTTAATCCTTTTTACAATAATAATTGTCATAAATAAAAATATAAGTGTTCCACTTAATAACTACATCCTTGACAGAAACCGTTACAAGCAACACACTACAAAAACTGAGAAAAATATTACCGATATCATTTAAAAACTAGGTTGATTGGACCATCATACATAAAACATTTCCCAATTATTACTATGATTAGATGAAAAACATTTAAAAAATGATTCTAAAAATATTTATTACTTGGTTCATACATAAACTTGTTTATCTAGTAAATGCTTTAAAAACGGAAATCTGGCATTTCTCGAAAGTGAAATCGCACATCCTGTGCTAATATTAAATTGTTATGATTAAGTAATTAAATCAAGACTTAAAAATATGAGACAATTACGGTTAAATACACCCAAATTGCATGAAAATTATGAGAAAATTTCAACGAAATTGGTTCAATATATTTAATTATAATTGGCAAGCTTAGAGAAAGTTCCAAAAAATTCAACTTTAATTCTCATTTCAATTTTCATTCTAAAACACGCAATTTTCGTAGCTCATCAATCGTTTTCCCTCATTTATTCGAGCGATGACGAATAAATTACACATTATTCCGTGTAAGTGGTCATAAATTTAAAAGAGTTCCCATGTACTTTAAAACTCCCCGACCTTCAGGTTTTGCATGGGAAACGTTAGAGTCTGGGTTCTGGTTCATGCATCGGCCATGAACCAGAAAATCTGCAAAAATTGCACTAAAGACATTAATTAGCAAAAATTGCACTAAAGACATTAATTATCTCAACAGCTAAGCTACAAATATTTCGAAAATGTAGTAATTTAGCGACAAATAGAGCGTGTTTTACGGTGATTAAAACTGATTATATTTTTTTAAATAGCAGAATATTGACCAAACGGAAATTGTTGGAGCATGATGTGCAATACTGTAAAGTCATCATTTTTAAAAAAGAGATAAACAGTAATTAAAATACTCCAAAGCTGTTTTAGACCGGCTGTAATAGCACAATTTTCCGGATAATTTAATCCGCTACAAACTTAAATATTGACATTATCGACAGGAAAATAAAAAAGACGTCTTTGTAATTAGATTCGTTGCAAACTTTATCGAAAACCAATAATTTATGATCGGAAAATATGCCTAGTAAAAGAATTAGATTACGCCAAAGTGGCGTCGCTAATGGAAAATTAAAAATAATTTTCATGTCAACTCAAATAGACGCAATTAATCAAATTATTTAAGTAAATTTACTGTTATACACTAAAAGTCTATGCATATTTCTTTTGTTCCAGAATCCTAGTACATATTTAATTCGCTCGTAATAACTGCAAATTTTATTTTTACGCTTCCGCAACCATCATTTAAAAATCTGAAAGTACTGTAAAAAGTAATTACAATTCCTCGAAAATTTATATCTTGAGCAAACTGTGTAACTGTTCTACATTTTCAAGAAAATAATTCGATTTAGTGTAACTCAAAATTTTAAATTGTTAAAATACATTGTAAAAATTGTAAGTAGGTTTCAATAAATACGAAAACGATTAAAAACTTGACCACTTTGATGTAATAAGAAACTAAAAATATATTTTTAAACCAAAAATCACCACTGTTATCGTTACTTTGCTTTTGTATTACTTCAAACTCGTTCATTTTACAGACGATTTTAAAAAATATATACGGAGTGAATTTAAAGCATATGCAAATATTTTAACAGGTGATAGTAGATTTCAAAAGTAGCCAAAATAAGTAAACATGCCTTATCCGAATAGATAGTTTCTGAGATATAAAAGGGTGCAACCAACCTCTTATTGGACGTTGAATAAATTGTAAAAAACATTTTTGCTCTTTTTAACTCATTTTGTTAAAACAATTTAATGGATTTTGAAAAGCTAACATCAGAGATAATATTTGTTTACAATTTGAGTCGGTGGGCCCCACATTTCAATATTTTCGACACTACTACATTCGGATAAGGCAAGTTGTGTTATTTTGACTTCCTTTGAGCTCTACTATTACCTGTTAAAATATTTGTCCATACTTACACATCCTGTATACATACTTAAAGGCTTCCAAGATCTTATCCCAATGAAAATTGTTAAACAATCTGTTTATTGTGATTGTCAGATAAAATAAGTGTTTGTCCCATTTACAACAAATATTAGCATAAAAAAAGCGATAAAACTTGTACCACAGACAAGATCAATGTGAACAAATAAAGTTTGTCGTTTGAGAATGTTGATAACCAAAAAAGGAATGTGTCTCGTGTAACATCACATTTCGATAAAAAAAAATCCAAACCCCAAGTAAAAGTCCAACTTTCTTCGAAATAATTCAATTGCAGAATCGAAAATTTCTGTCGGAAACAAAATCGTTGTGCAAACCGCTTTATTATGCAAATCCACCACAAACACAGTAGCAACAATTCGCTTTTAAAACCTCCAACTATCACCAATAATGACGTGTTTTGTGTTGAAACACTTTTCCAATTTCAATTTCACTATCTTTTGTTTACTAGTCGAGCAATGACTCTTTGATCTCACAAAAAGTTGTTAAAACCAATAGAATAGAAAGTAAATAAAAATTAACAGTTTTTGAACAAATCCCATTTTGGACCTTCCCCAAGACGCTAAAACGGCGGTTACGAGCGAATTGTTGAGAATTTCAATACTCGAAAGAATGTGTTTTATGGAAATTTGCTTTTTAAAATGGCGGTCACGTAAGAAGAATTGATTGGCCGCATGCAAGAACGTCTATTGTTATAAACAGACATTAACTATTGTTACTGGGTTAATAGGCAAACCTAATATTTACCCGATAAACAGCAATCATTTGAAATACCTTTAAGGTTTTTTTTATTGGGTGCTCTAGTTCTAGTTACTTCAATTAATAAAGCAATGAAAAACTTGAAGAATTTTAATATTAATTGAACTAATTAAAGTATAATTATTCGATTTTATCAACACTATTAGTGTCTCTTAATTTATTATTTCACAACTGTAAGTATTTCAAAAAAGATAAAAACCAAACTTGTTTAAAGTAAATTTGTCCAAGCTTTGTGATGAAGTAGACAGGTCGGGTGTTTGGGGGCACTACAACAGGTTATAAGATAACCAGGAAATTCCTATAATATTCAAAACAAACATGTAAATAGAAAAAAGTCAACAATCTTGACATCTCGTTATTACTAGCTATTTTATATTTTTTATAATATTTTTTCTCAATTAGATTAACATCATTTAGCAATACTGACTCGAGTTTTCAATTTTACATTTCGAACATTGATTGTGCTAACCCAGAAACCATATTTTAACAACTTAATAAATCGTAAAGTACAAAGCAATAAATTATTTATTTTTATAAACTGTGAAATTTGTAATTCTACTCATTAATTATTGTCACATAGGTATTACTAGACATATTATTTTACATGTTAATTATAAATGGCTTTCAAGGTCTTTCTAATGTTGTTTAAACAAATAACTGATGTTACATTTCTCGCAATCAAACCAGTTTATTTTCAAAATTAAAAATGCAACACCCCCAAAGACCAAATAATTTTAATTAACAAAATACGTTATTTGATACTTTTTAATTACCTATCGGTGTTTTAAAATGAGAGAGAATACAATAAATCTCCCAGATTAATGATTATGAGAAAAAATCTATTGAACACGACAATTACGTAACCCAACAAAAAATGCATTATGTAAATATTCTGTTTTCACTTTTCTGCAAATTTCAACACACTTCTGCATCTTCCTTCGTTTATAATTAAAAAAAAATTATTCAACTTTTGACTTGGTTTTAGTTAGATAGTCAAGATTTATTTGATAGTGCAACGAGTTAATTAGAATGAATCCATAATTGTGATGCAACAGAAAAAAACTTTAAATGGAAAATAACACTTCAACTCTCAAGGTGAGTAAATAATTTCTGTTTATTATTTAGAATGAGGTTTTAGACCAATTTCCATTTTTTCTCAATAAAAACTTGATAATTATATACAGACAACGCCGTAAAATTGAAATAAAAGGCGCCACGTTTGTAATATTCTTGAAAACATCTGGAAACTCTATGAATTACCCAAAACATCATCACTATTGCATTCCTAAC